ATTTAAGCTACGACAAAAGCTGGTACATCATATATATATATATATAATATATATATATACATATATGTATGTATGTATATTGTAGGATTCCCCACTGTGTAATTCTAAGTTACAGTAGAAAGTGAAGAATCTTGAATCGCTTGACTTCGTTAGACTATAAATAAACTTGGAAAGGGTTAAAAGATCTTTTATTATTCAAATAAGATTTAACAGAACTCCGTCTTGGAGTTGTACAATAAAGCCGACACCTGGAGTTGAACTTTAAAAACTAAGAATTAAATAAAACTAATTTTAGCTAAGATATAGCCGAAGCTATCAAGATTCTAACGGAGTTGGCCCCTTAACGTTAATTGACTGCGAAGCTATCGAGGGCCTAACGTACGGCCGATTGTAATAATAGCTTACGAGAGAGTAGTTTAAAAAGGCGGACGCGTGCAGCCAGAATATCTGGTATCTCTCTCTGACTAAAACAGCAGAACTTCGCGGTTAAATACCGCTCTTCCTCATTAGCATTCAGACGTGATTCTAAAACTACGTTCTGGCCGGAAGTGGTAAGTTGAAATTAAGAAGCGATAGGAAAGGGAATTTAACTCAAAACTTAACTGTTAATAAAAATTAACATAATCTTTACAATATATATAAAGAAAAATGTCTAATTTTTTGCGTGTAATTCATACAAATCTAAAATTTTATTCCTATGTCGAGGAAATTTTCCACACTTGACCTTCAAAACATTAGGAATGTCAAAACACATGACCTTCAGACAAGGGAAAGACCACACTCTACGTGCGATTTCGAAAAATCTCCCCAAGGGGTTCACATTTAGGTCATTTATATTATAACACTGTGCTCACTATACCAGTCTTTAGTTTTAGGCCGCCGTTGTTGTGTTCCTTTGTTAGTGGAAGTCATACTACAATTATCAGTAGAAGTCATACAACAATTATCAGTGGAAAATCATACAACAGTTATCAGTGGAAAGTCGTACAACTGTCGTTCCTGCTATCAATGGAGTTCATACATACTAAACAAGGAATTTATAATTTTTTTACTTCCTTGTATAGAGTAAAAAGGAAGTCACGAAAAATTTCCGGTATAGTTTTTTTCAACGAAAATATCCATTTTGACCGCTATCCAATGCAATTTAATGACATTTTTGCTTGACATCTGTACGTAAGGACAGAATAAAGGACTCTTTTCCCCCAAAAAAAATTATAAAATTGATTTAAAATGGATTCTGAAGACATTTTTCTCGTGCCATCTATACATACATACGTTACGTATGTGTGTATGTATCTCTCATAACTCAAAAACGAATAGCCTTAGAAATTGAAATTTTGTGTAGACTGTTATAACATGTAGATGTGCACCTTCTATTTTGGTTGCAATTGGTCGCACCAAAAGTATATAAATCTATGCATGTATATATATATCCACTTTGTAACTCAACTCAGCTCAGTTTCTTTATTCTTATATGTTTGTAAATTGTGCATTTTTTGCTTTAAAAAGGATTGAATTATGTTGTTCTTATCTTCCGGTTAATGATTTTATGCCTTTAACTAACCTGCATATTATAGTTGTAGAATTATCAACAGTTTAAAAGATTTTAAGCGCGGCTAAGCCTAATTTTTCCCCCATAGCCGCCATATTTGTTTACATTTGAATCTTAGCAGAATAGTGGATTTGTTGCCAATCTAAAAAAAAGCTAAGCTTCGCAACAATAAAGTAACGTCCTCTTTTATTATTGCGAATTAAATTATGGTTAATCCATTCTGGAATTATCATTGAAGTTATTAAATTATTCCATATATTGACTCAGTATAGCGTTCTCAACAAATTAAGTCAGTTCCTACGCCTTCAGTGCCTTTTTGCCGAGTGAGACCAAAAGTAAACTTTCATTTTGTGCACCGAAAAGTATATTTTCTTTCTGTCTTTCTGAGTCTCTGATCTTTCCGTCATTCTGAGTTATGAATTAGAAGCAACGCTGTTAAGTGAGCTTAGCGCCAGAGTGTCGCTATGGAAAATAAATATAGTGAGTTTTAAAGCGTGCATTTATTCTACTATGGTTTAAGCGCTATCGCCCAAGTAGAATTCAATAAGTTTAAATAAAATGCAGGGAACAAATGCGTATAATTTAGTATTCCGTATAAAAAAAAAAAAAAACATGCTGTGTACACATTCACGTCACTCGTCTTAGATTCACATTGGCGTTGTTGCGATCTTTGCAAAATGATTACAAGTTACAATATGATTTACCTAAAAGTCATTTCCTAAAAATGATATAATAAATAACAAAGCAAGTATCAATTCTTATTAAAACCATTGCATGGAGCCGTGTTAATTAATTCTACACCGCACTACAGTTTTATTCCAGCATGGTAAATTTATACACAATTCACTTTAAATGAAAGTAAGAGGAAAATCACTGTCTATATGAGATTTCGAAGGAACTACTCCCATCCGTCCAACTGTCTGCGTAAAGCCCGGATGAAGCCGGGTACTTCAGCTTGGCACAAATAAAATTTCATCACAGAATTATGTTTTACTATTTCCCGTACTTATGAAATCTCATCTAGATGTGCGTATAAAAAGACGGAGAAATAATTAATGTTAAAACAGCTGTGTTCTAAAGTATTATTTGTTGTTAATTAAAATATTTCTAGAATTAAAATACATGTGCATATCAATGACTACTTGTTATAATTTTAGTGTTGCCAACGTGAGCTACTATAATTAACTAGCGACCAGATGCTATAAAGTATATTAACACTTTTAAAATTTTAAATTATTTAACTAGTTGCTTGCCTATTTAATCATTTTATTATGTATGTATTATCATTCTTAAGATTACAATATATAATATATATATATATATATATATATATAATGTATTATATATATATATATAATGTAAGAAAGGCTTACTGAACTAAACTAAAAAGGACTTGTGAGGTCAAGAATTTTGCGCATTGGAGTTCCACAATTTGAAAATAAAATTAAAAACGTAATTCTTCTAGCTATTGGCCTACGTGCTAAAGTGATACTTCGTTCCTATGCAAATAAGTATAAACACATAGTAAATATCTGCAATATAAGTTGTAAAACATAGAATGTATGAAAAAATAAGAAAGAAAAATCTAAAGATGAATGCTTAACTTGATTGGAATTTAAAAGTTAAAAACGTAAGTAAAATAAAGTGTAAGCTATCTCATTACATATTAGAAAAAATGCAACAAAATATCATATTAAAAATAATAAGAACCACAAGCAGCGGTAAACGGAATAATTAGTCTAATTCGAACATCATCATGGACTTTTCAAGGGAAATGCATATTGATATTCGAACTCTGCTAAATTCCAGAGCGCGTTCCGTCGAACAGGCATTGAAACTGATAGCCAACAAATTACTTATTATAAAAAGTCCCAATATAAATTTAAAACAGTTCTCAATCCCTGTTCCATTCTAAAATTTAAATTGAATACATATTTTAATTTTAACTAAAGAGTTAGCAATAATAAAATTGTTCTGCAAAAGCAGTAAACTGTTGTGAATATAGAAAATGAGTCCAGTTTTGAAATTTGCAGAATCATTAGGTTATTTTCATGCTGGAGACGTGAAAAAATCATATCCGTCACGATCCAGACCATGAATTTGATATTTAAAAGATGTCATAAAAATTAAATCAAGCAAAGTAATTCATTAAAGAAAATCTCTAAAAATACTATGATTAATCTAAATAGTAAAAAATTGCAATCTCAGGATAGTCATCCTTCAATAAGTGTTTATAGCTGGAAACAAAAATTAAATATCTAACTAAAAGAATTGTGTCAATTATTAATAACTCGAATAAATTAACTATAGTAAATAAACTATATAAGAACATATGAACAAAATTAAATACATTTGAGTTCGAAGAACTGCAATAAGCTAACTCTTACATGTGCATTGATGCAAAAGCGTTTTGGCTAGGTGTTTTAGACTGTCCTTTGAAATCAACAGTGGTATACTTGGTATATAAGTATTTTAGCAATTTTTAACTGTCTTTTAATGGATCACTAGCGATCTCACACTCTGAAGCACGTAAGATTATAATTTTTTAATTTATTGATATAGTTTATTATATTCGTGTAGCAATTAATAAAAATTAGTTTTATTGAAATTTTATTATAGTATCCGAAGGTATTTTATTTTATTTTATGTGCTGGCAAACACTTCATAAGTACGATCTGCATTTTTTACCTTTTACGATTCTCCCTTCTTTCAATAAAATGAGGGCGCGTTAGCCCAAAAGGGGCATTAGCCCCTTTAAGCCAAAGGGGCATTAGCCCAAAAGGGCTTTTATTCACGAAACGGCATTTCGAGTCGAATCATTAAAAAGGTTGTATCACTTTTCAGATTGTTGTCACCAAATATTATCGCCCTGTATTATATTTAAAGAAATAAAATAATGAAGAATCTGCATGGATGTATATATGTTTCTCGCATTTTGAGAATACGACGGTACATAGAGCATATCAAATTTTGAATAACGTAGTCCTCCATCCGAATATAGGTACCTGAAAGGCCAAATTTGTTTTATCATACATTTCAAATTTGGTTAACAAACTCAACAATTTCAATGCGATCAATGGCAACAATGTAAGAAAACAACATTTTTATCTCCATCGCGAGAGACTATCGGAAAATCTAAAGATATGCTGTTTTTAAATATTTTTAGCCCAAATGCTCTCGAAACGTGTATGTGTGTTTAAATGTAAAACACGGTCATTTGGGCTTAATATATAATCTGAAAGTTTTCAGATTTTTTTAAAAATTTAAATTGAATCCGGAAACAAAATTTAGTAAGACAACTGTATCCAAATTTCAAAAATCGGTTTCCGTAAGTCAGCAGATACATAGAAATTAGTAAAACGCAAAGATTAAAAAATAATCTTTGATAAATCATTTTAAAGGACAAGAAATTGCAGTACGACATCTAGCATAATGTACTTGTACTCACCTGTTAAAAGTAGAAGGCCATAAACACAAGCCAGGAATACCGAGAATTTTATGTCCCATTCTAAGGGGTGGAGAGAACAGTTGCTCGTAGAAGATGGCAGACGAGCAAAGACAGACGTCACTCCAACAAACACAGAGATGACCGCCAGAACAACGATATGATATCTCACCTGTAAAGGAAAAGAAAAATGTAATCATAGAACACTACAGTTCGCATAACGCATAATATAAATATGAAAAATTTCCAGAATGCTTATTTCATTTTCATTTTCTATTTATTTATTAACTATTTATTTTCTATTTACTTATTAACTGACGAGCCTTAGGAACTTGAAACATTTTATAGAATGGAGTTATAATATACCAGAGTATTTCCTAGCATATAAGACATAACTGGAAAGTTGAGAGAGCAACGAGTGTTTCTTAATAGAAGGGAGTGTAATAACCAGACTGGTAGACTGCGACACTAGCGAGAGCATGAAAAGCCTTAATAAACCCTTTTGGATGATCGTTAAAATCTGAAAACTTTCAGATTTAAAATTATTTTTATTTTTATATGTATTTATTTTTATAATTTTTTAACTTATTAATTCTTGGTGTGGTTTTTGGTTTGAAATAAAATTAAAAAAATCTAAGAGAGCTTCACTTTATTTTCTCTTGGATGGATCAACATGATTCTTCAATACACTAAATTTCATTTTTATTGAAATTACTGCAAAAATTTTAAAAAATTTGATGTGAACACATGGCTTCCTTGTACGGAATAGTAAATTGTACCCATTTTTCTTGCATTTTATTTAAACTCATTAGATTGAATTAAATTTACTTCGTCGATAGCGCATAAACTACAATAGAATAAATGCACTCTTTAAAATTGTATATATTTGTTTACCCTAGATACTTTGGCGTTAGTTTCACTTAACAGCGTTACATTTCATTCATTTTAAAACTCAAAATGTACAAAATGTATATCATGTGAAGAATTATCTAATTGTTGCCACATGTTCTCTTCAAATACTAGAATAAATCTAAAGCGATGTATAAAAGAAATTAATAAAAAACAAACAAAAAAGAAACTGTTTTTCACAGACGGTTTAGTATTTCTCATTCAATTAATTCAGTTCTCACTTCGCACTTTCACAAGGCAAAAATACATGAATACTCAAAATATCTATATTAAAAATTACGAAGTAAATCTTAAACACTTATTTCCTCGAATAAATTCCAGAATGGTTTAAGCTTGATTTAATTCGCAATACTAAAAGAATGCGTTATCATTGTTGTTGCGCAGCTTTGTTTCTCTAGATTGGCAATAAATCCACTATTCTTCTAAGTTCCAAATGTAAACAAATATGGCCGCTATGGTAAAAATAATTAGGTTTAGCCTCACTTAAACAACTCTTAAATTGTTGATAGTTCTACAAATATTGCATGCAGATTTATTAAAGGCATGAAAACCTTAACAGGAAGATAAGAACAATATAATTCAATCATTTAAAGCAAAAAAATGCGCAATTTGCAAACATATAAAAATAAAGAAACCGAAATTACTGAGCCGAGTAACAGAGTGGACACATATATATTCAGAATTCATTTTAAATCAGTTTTACAATTTTTTGAGGGGGAAAAAATAGTCCTTTATTCTGTCTTTACGTAGAGACGTCACACAAAAGACGTAGTTGAATTGCATTCGATAGCGGTCAAAATGGATAGTTTCGTTGAAATAGGATACCCGAAATTTTTCGGGATTACAATACTTCCTTTTCACTTCGTACAAGAAAGTGAAACGGAATTAATTACTCATTATAATCCAAATAGGTATTTAATAGAAAAAAAATTTCTGTATTCATTAAGACTAAACTATTTTGTTAAAAATAAGCACTGTCTAAAAGTACATTTTTGAAACTACCTTAATTTTTCTAATATAATTTCGAAAGCAAAATTTTGTATTTAATTTAAAATGAAGTAGAATGAAAATTGAGCACTCTGATGTCATATTTAGAATGCGCTGACAATGAGATAGGTATGCCTAAGTTCTTGTTACATTTTGAGCCCTTAAGTTTTGTGTGAGAGAGATGGAGATGAAAGAACGAGAATAAGATTTTAATCAAATGCCGTAGAAAAGCAGAGATAAAAATGAGATAAAATGCTTCAGCAATGTAAAGTGCGTAAAAAAGTTACCTTGTATCCGGTTTAAATGCTATCTATCTATTCCTAACAATTTACAAATAAAAGCATCACTTGTTTTGATTTTAAAGAAAGTTTTGTTTCTCAAAAAAGAATTATCAAGAAGTTCCTTTTCATAAATCCTTGAATGAGAGCCACGACTATGAATTAGTTGCAAATGGAAAAGAAAAATACTGCAGAATATCTCAAGGTCACCCGTCATGTAATCTGTATTCTTTATACATATTGATTTTCTCCACATTATCTACCATCTAGGCTTTCTTTGAAACGCGTTTGATGCTATTCAAATGATAACACATTTTCTCACCCATTCAAAACTGCTTGTTGCAAAGTCCTTCACATTATTTTGTTTTGCAACGTTTTTTAATCCTCAAAAGCGTGTGATCGAGAGGGGGGAAACTCTTAATATGCATTTCTTCGCAGTCCCAAATTTCCTTTTATTAAATTATTAAGTTTATTACTTTTTTAACTTACATTTTTAGAGGTATATATTTTTTTCAAGTGTATATTTCATTGATTAAAATAAAAGTTAAACAACTTAAGTTGGGATTATTTAGTAGGTGAGGATAATCTAGTGTGGGATAATATTTTTAATCTATTTTTTTTTTAAATTAGTTTTTCTTTTGGTGCTCCATTTGAATAACAAATAATAGAAACAGAATAATTTAATGGGTAATGAACAGAAATATATGTTTTCAGTTTTTTAATTCTGTGTTTTACTTTTCGTATATTAATACAGATGAACCTTTAGTTTGACAGTCATTTTAAACGAAAGCGTTCTGGGAAATTAAAATTCAAATCGTATACCAAATTAAAATTAAATCCGAGAAATTTAAAAGAAAATTAGTGAAAAAAGGTTATTCTTATATTTTACCTGAAACTAACAATGAAGTGAAGAGATACATGAAATACTACCGTTTATTGGGATGAAAACAATGCAGATTAATAATTAAAGCTACTTTACTAAGTTTGCTTCTAAATATTATCTGTTAATTTTCTAGTTTGTAAAGAATGCTTTGTACACTCTGCACAAAAAAAGGGGGGACGGTTCTATATCTCCCGCTCTACTGGATCGGTTGACAAGATTTAATTGGGGATTTTCATGTCTCGAGAGCGCGACTTAGAGTATATATTAGAATGAAATGCGGCTTTTCTTCTAGATTTCAATTTTAAATCTCAAATTATGCCTAAATATTAAATTTTGTAAAATTTCCTGAAAAACTCAAAAGGAAATTTAAAAATTTATCTTCGATCATTTTTTTAACTTTCGCCAAGAATAATTTATGACAACCTATTTTCCTTTCTTTTTCACTATGAACGAGCGGAAAAAAAGGCGCATCATTCGTTCTTTCAAATAATTTTAACAAAGTATGCAAACCAGGCTTTATTATCGCTTCTAACAAATGTGGCAAATTTCGAAACGCGATAGTATATAAATTCCCATATATCTTGTGAAATTTTCAATTAAAAAAAAACTCTAATTTTTTGCAGGTATGCCTGGAAATAAACCTTTCGGGCACGGTAACAAGTTTGTAAGTTATAACTCAAAACATTTTTCAAAAAATTTATAAAAATTACTGAAAAATACAAATTTTAAAATTTAATCAGAAAATATCTACGAATTTTATTTGGACTGAATCTAAATTTTGAAATGTGGAAGAAGGAATCAAATAAATTTAATAAAAAAAAGAGATATTAGTATATATAATAAATTCAATTAATATTGAGAAGCTAAGGTTTGGAAAGCTTATAAAAAACTAGTCTTGCGATTTTTACGAATCATGACACTTTGGTACAATTTGAGTAGTAAAATCGAAATATGGAAAATAATCAGAAAACGTCCAATTTTGTATCAGAATACCGATGTTTGAAAAACATAATATATAAATTTAATATATATCCTATGTCGCGGTTTCAAGACATAAAAAATGCAAGTTAAATTTTGTCAATCGACTTAGCAGAATGGGTATTATATTACTGTCTCCATTTTTGGGGGGGGGGGGGTGCATAACAAATAATTTATTCATTCCAATTTCCTAAAAGAAGAAAAAAAAAAAAAATAATAATATAATAAATAAATTAACATTTGGAGTAGATATTACTTTAAACTCATGCCTCAAAAACTTTATCTTCTTCTTTTGATATCCTAAACATATGTTAAATTTGTTCTCAAATAACCATAAAAGTAAATTATAGAACTGATTAAAATTTATGCAAAAATTCAGAGCATGCTTACTGCACAACTGAAGAATGTTTTCTTAAACTTGAGATAAAAAATATAATTATAATTTAAAATCCAACTCATAGCAACATATGTTTTCAGAATAATAGCTTTCATTAAAGCATATTTTACTAACAAATTACATTAACCTTCTTTGATATTAATGTTAAAGAAATCACCGTGTAATCATCTTATGTATGCTTCATAAGAGGAGGAAATAATGAAAAATAAATAAGGAAAAAATGGAGTAAATAAACATTGCTATTAGAAAGTTTACTTTCTTCAGTTCACTTGTTCGGGTAAGGGGTCAGAATGTAAATATTTAATTTGAAGCACTAAGACTGGAATACTGGGAAATGGGAAAAGTGGCATGTTAATAATGATTGCTTTCGCTTTAGATTTAAAAAAGTATTCGCCGCTTTGTTCGATAATCTTCTGGAAAAAAAAAATCCGACGCAAATATTATTTAAGGATTTTGGTTTTTAAAATATCAAAACCGTAACTGAAATTTAAATCATAAATTATATTTGATTACACTAATATTTAAACTTCGATGCTTAAAAAAGCCAGCGTCCGAGAGGTAAAGTCGCTGAACAAGGATAGCTCGAATCGAAATTCGAATTATGCGAACGGTCTGGCTCCATGGGCGTTTTCGTGATTTTCGCCATGTGTATACGAGTTGGTTTCCCTTCACGAAGGCCAACCTCCTTTTAGATAGCCCTCGAGTGCTTCCGCATAGTAAAATAAACAAAATCAAACTAG